CCCCAAAACCCCAAAACCCCAAAACCCCAAAACCCCAATTGGAGGTGGATATATTGAAAATAGGTTTACTTCTTCCTCGATTTGGCTCTAGTCTTTTGATAATCTTCGATAATAGAGATCAAGTCGAGGTTCATTACAGATTTAGCTATATCTAGTGCTGTTCTTCCTTCTTTATCTCTGATTTCATGGTTAATGTTGTGTTTAAGTAAGAATTCAACTATTTCTTTAAAATTGTATCTAACTGCCCAATGAAGTGCAGTTCTGCCAAACTTATCAATAGTGTTAATACCTGCCCCTTTAGAAATCAGAAATTCTATTGTTGCCAGATATCCATTGTTAACTGCATAATGGAACGGAGTCCATAAATCTACTGTGGTAGTGTCTATAAGAATAGTACTATTTTCTAAGATATAATTAATTGTCTCAACTTGCCCCTCCCTTGCTGCTAGGTGAATAGGAAGCTCATCAGCATAGTTCTTTGAGCAAAGCTCTCCTCCCTTCTTGTAAAAGTGAGATAACATCTTTACTCTTCCAAATTCCGCTCAGACGTGCATTATATTGTCTCCTGTTGGCCTAACTATCTCTCTTGCATGAAAGGCACCTTTCTCAAAGATGTCAATAACAAGGGAGAATTTATCTCTCTCAATTGCATAGACTAGTTCTTCATAATCTTCCCAAACTGAACTGTTAAAGAAGGGTTGATAGATCTCGTTCTTAAAAAAATCAGGTTGTAACCTATCCTCAATATCTGTATAATAATTCTGTTCGAGCTTGCTCTCTGATAATTTCCTATTATTTTTCTTTCTCTAGAGCTTGTTTAGTGATCTTGCTCATCAAAGTTTTACGAAGCTTCTCCTGCAAATCTTCTTTATGCTTTATCCTCTGATTCAATCCCTCTTTAGAATCCCCTTCTGTAGTGGGAGTTTCGGTTTTGGCTTCTACATCTTTCGTTCAAGGTTTTACAAATGAAACCCAAATTAATTTCATAGTGTTGATTGGAAAGTTATGATAAAGAAATATTACGGTTGAACTAATATCTTCTACAGTGGTAATAACTTACCTTCGTCCTCAAATTCAGAATCCTTGATGTTTTCAGCTTCCTTTTCAAAAGCCATTTTTAATTTCTCAGAGTTTACCTTGTCAAAAGGATCTCTAACCAGGAATGATAATGAGTTTTGTGCCTCTCTCAGACTAGACCCCCAATCCGTTTTCTCCTGGTAAGGATCTGTTGAGTTTGATGCCTGTGATTATTAATAAATATTACCTCTTCTTGCTGCTCCATTTTAGTCAAATAGTTCTATTTGTGTTTTAAAAGAGGGGTTTTGGGGTTTTGGGGTTTTGGGGTTTTGGGG